TCATACGGCTGGAATTTACGGCGATGAACGCAAAACACGCGTGAAAATGTGAAAATGCCAGGCTGACAAAAGTGCATTTAAAGGGACAAACCAAATCAATGTGCACAATCGCTCGCGCCGCCCTCCCGAAGAACGCACGTCCGCGCAACTGAGTGACGGAACGACTGAGTGAATTTGTAATTGCGGATACGTTACCGTTAAAAAAATACTTCACAATAACTTTTTCCTACATTCCGTTGCATATAAACACTGAAAAAATGCGAGCAAGTTAAAAACGCGGCGAATAAACAAAAAGGCGGCTGAGTAAATTTCAGCCACAACGGCACACGAACAGAAAAAACCGCTCATTTGCCTGCTTTCGTGGCGGCGATGGTTGCTGCAAGTGGAAAAAGGCTTTAACATTAAAATTAAATTTACTCGCAACGCGGCTTTTTATTTAATGTAAATATTTGGCAAAACCAACGGTGTTATGCAATAAAAAGTGCCCACACAATTATAACTGAGAAATAATTGAAGAGTCGAAATGCAATTATTATTGCGCCCAAAGCCATTGCATGTTGCTCTTTAAAGCGACACACACACACATGTGCATGGTGCGCGAAAACAGCTGCATTTTTTGCCGGAAGTTAATGTTGTTACAGTGTAGATTTTTGCATAAATCCAGCTCAGGGCTGAATGATGCTAGTGACGAAACCTGCTTTGATTATTGAAAAATATGTTTCGGCTGAACAACAACTGTTCGACGATCAAGCAATGTATATAAGTGGCCTTTTGCTGMGTGAAAGCAGCTTTTATTTAGTGCGAARCTTTATTTTTGGCAGATGAGGGAAGGAAGTTTCGCTACACATTAGCACATTAAAAATRCAACGAAACTTTCATTGATGGGGTTATGGGAGAAAATATATGGCGAACAATCTGCTGTTAGATACAAGAGCCAGCACAAAGYACACCGAAAGCGTTCAAGGTTTACCGAAAAATGCGAACAAAAGATCGTTGATGCGGCAGTTATTAAGGTGAGGTAGGCAAGGCAGCTGATGAAGCGTCAGCCCCAACCAAGATGCCTTAAGTAAGTAATAGAATATGGAACTTACTCATACTCTGCCTAATATTGGCAATAAAAAAGTTTAAACGCTTTGTGATGTTTGCCTTTGTATGTCATGCAATGCTATTGCAATGAACCGCTCGACCAATGTCGGTAAATAAGGGCGCTACAAACGAAAAAAAATGTCAAATTCAAGGGGAGAGCAGCCAACAATAAGAGCGAGGTACTGTGAACCTTTTTGTTTGTACGTTTTTACAATTGGAAAGGACACCTCCAGAATTTTCGCAATACCTGCTATGTATGTAGCGGCGTTGTCAGCYGTCTCGATGCGRCATTGAAGAATTAGAGCCGCCTCCGGCTTCGAAAAATGTCAGACATGAATTGTCGCCGCTTTTGGCCGCACACCATGTGACGCCTCTTCCCCTCCACCCTCGCTGCCTGCCATTGTCATATCAAGCGAACATAAAATATATTGCATAACCGAGATGGCACTGCGCGCTGTCACGCTGCCACTGTTGGCTTTTCCACTTTGGCCATTTTTTCGCGTTTATTGTTCGCAATCATAATTTTCGATCAGGAAAATTGTACACATAATAACAGTTCMTGCAACAATAGCAATAGGAACGAGCAAATAATGCAGTCAAATAAAAAGCGAAGTGTAGATGTGCCGCACAATAATAATGACACCAGTGCAAACAAACTGTCGTTTGAAAATAAAACAACAAAGACAACAACCACAAAARCAATTGAATGGCAAAACACAAATACTGGTGTAAGCGATGCGCACGTGTGCCTGAACYSAATGCCGTAAAAATGTAAGAAGCACAGYAMGGACAAACACACAAMCAAACRCACACACTCACATACAAAAAAACGGGCGAACAATGACAAATGTTATTTCAGAGCGAGACTTTTTTGGCAAGAAAAACATTGCATTCCGGCAAAGAATCAACGGCTTAAGACTAGGCATTGTCTGAGACGCTTTGCAGGCGCTTTCGTGTGTTTGTGCGTTTGTGTCTTGCTTAAAGTGACTTCTGAGTTCCACGTTTGCTTCAACCCTCAAATGTGTATTTATTATTAAAATTATATATTACTATTTGTAAAATTATGCCGAATTGGCTGAAGCACGCAAATCAAATGTTCGGCAATTAGTAAAGTCATAAAAATTAAAGGCAGTTTACCTTATATTCGTCACTTCAGTTCTAGAAAAAATAGATTTATCTGACTTTCATAACAAACTTTCGTTGAAGAGACTTAAAACGTTGTCTTCTTCTTACTCGAGTGCGATGCCAGTGGCACAAGGATCTTTTAATTCCATGCACGAAATGTTTATGTGCATGTGTGTCCATTTTTCAGATAAGTATGCACCAAGACGTACACTTCAAGAGCCATTTTTTTATTATCATTTGCTGTTACATGCAGACAAAGTGTAACATATAAGAGACAAGTTTTTATGTGCCTTCTTCGTCGTAAAACATTGCAAAGTCACATAAAATCAAATACCCATAAATGCGCAAACACACGTGCAAACTTGTTTCTTTTGCTACAGCCAACATTCTTTACAACCCCGTGCACTTAGCACCAACAGGCAGGCGGGAGAAGATTCTTATCTGTGTGAGTAATAAACGACAATTTTTGATATTCAGCCAGTTAATATTGGGGATTTCGGTCCCAGCGAGTGGGTGATAAACATAGCGTGTCTTCGTAGATTTGCAATCATTGTCTACGTACTTTTTATAGATACTGTATGGGTACATTAATGCCTGCGTTTAGATTGCATGCAAAAAGTTGTGGAATAAAGCTGCTCCTTCTAAATTATGTAATTGTAAATTATGTAATAGTGGAAACAGGTAAGCCGCCGGCTTGTTAAATTTTTGCCTGAAGGYATATTAATGTAATCAAAAAAAATCGTACTCTGCAGTGCAACTGCGCTTTTAACTCCCTATGCGAGAAAGTTTCATGCTGCACGCGAACACAAATTGAGTTAAAATTCGCAAGCATAATAGGCCAAAACTGTTTCCCATCAAGATAAAGTGAATCTCTAGAAGAAAAGTTCCATAATTAACGGTTTAGATTAAGTATTTTAAGGGAATATTTTCGAATAGCTTTATCCACTTGAATTTCATAATTATACTAATTTATATGCTGTTTTTCACACTTAGCTCAACCGAATTGTTTKTCTCACTCGCTCTCTCAGGCTTTGTTAAATGCTACAGCGCTTTGTTCTATCCAAATCCAAATCCTTTTGTAATGCATTTCAAAACTATGATTTTCCTTATAATATTTCGCTTTTTAGTTGAACCCTTAAAGCATTTGGAAGCCCAAATTATGCTTACTTAACCTTATCGGCAGAAATTTCTCTCTGCCTGCATGCACATTCGTGTGTGTAATTCCACAAATAGCTGTACAACTATAAAAAATATAACCAGGGACTATTAAAATCATAAGCCATTATTAAATTTAATTCAATTGCGCATAGCAGAGTGTCAAAGTGTTGCATTAGTTAGTGAATTCACAAGAGAGTTGCAATGCATAGAGCGGCGGCAAGTATGTACGCGTGTGTCTTCAGCTACAATGCACAGTACCACAGCTACAATATATACAGWCAATTATGAAGGTATATTCTTAGGCTTTCACCACTTCCATAACTGAATCCCCTACATATAAAGAACACTCACTTTTAAATGYGCACAGATGTTTTTGAATCTTACAATAAAAATTGTCAAGTGTAAATGCTTTTTCTGATGGACATACAACCACGTTCTCAAAAAGGCAAGTAAAAATTACGAATTATTTCTTTCTATCACGTTCGTCCTGCACATTACTACTTACGAGACATACGCCAGAGCTGCGTGCATGCACACGGCAGCACGACATTCCTTTTAGCCTGAAAAATATKAAWTWTTTAATATAAATTTTTCAAGACTAGCTAAAAGCCTCTCTACAGATTATAAGTAATTTTTTATAAATAATTATTTTTGACAAAAACGCCAAAAATGTACACGGCAAATGCAATTTTTGGAAAAGRAGACGCTGCGTATACGTAACGTGCAAGGAAATGGGTTCCAACTGTCAAAGCGTGTTTTTTATATTTTTTAACCTTATTTTTTATTAAGCCACAAGCAGGTGAAGGTAATAAGAGCGTTCTAAAATTGCCCCAAAAACGTCTTAATCCCCGTATATGTCATCGCCAGTCTTTATCTGCATACATTCCATATATATGTACATAAAACGGCCCGTGACATTCCAATTGGCTATTTATAGCACGAAAATTATTATCCTGCTTACCTGTTTGAGTTAAAAATAATAATTTTTCCACTTTAAGAATTAAACTTCATACTAACAGTAAAATTACGATCATCCTTAATGGTGGAGGAAACTGATTAAACGAACCTCGTTAAAAGTATTAAAATTTACTTACACATATGTATGTAAATATACATAAATAATTGAAATATATATGTATATACATATGTATATGTAATTAGACAATTGGTACATTGTATTGTATTTGGAAGTCATCTTGCGCATCAAACTATTTTAGTTGAATTAAACTTTTCGACCCTCTGCTTTAGCTTTGTATAAAATGACGGATAACGTTTCYCAAATTTAACTAATAAGATAAAAATTGTATTCTTGTAAAGTTCCCTTGAAGTTCGTGTGACTTTTGTCAGATCTTTTGAGCGAATTCGTTTATTTTCCACCTTTTCATGAGTAACAGACGCAAATGTTTTGTAAAAGAAAGTGAGTGTTGCAGTATGCCAGCGGAAATCACATACATATGAACATAAAAAAGATTTATAAAATACGCGAAGCAAAGCATTACATTAGCAATGACCTTAATCTGAAAATTTTAGTTGGCAAAACATTTTAGCAATAAAACCGTAGCCATCCCAAAAGCAAACTATGTACAGTACTTTGTTTTTTTCGCTATTGCAAATCAATTGCATATTTTTAGGGTATCGTTTATAATAACGTCAACCGTGGTGTTCGCGATAGCACATCTTATCCTTATACACAACCACAACAATATCAACAGTCGCAACAACAACCCATACAATATACCCAAGCACAATTTAACCGTCAACCCTCACATGAGCCAGCTGGTTCACCATATGGACAACATTTGAACGACCAGTACGGACAGCAGAAACCGGTCTCACACTACCCAACGCACAACCACCCCATTGAACAGCAACAACCCGAGCAACAATATGAACCGAATTCCTCATCTGGTTGGAGACCTATCCACCCGCCTGTGCCTAAGGCGCGAAGTGAATTCCTAGCAAATCGCGTAGGTGACACACCATTTTATCCTAGCCGTGGCCAACAAGATTATCCATCTACACCACAGGTACACTGGAACAAATGTACCTACACATTTGCAAAATGCGAGAATACGTGAAATTATTAATTTAGAATTCATGTTTTTTTTTTTTTTTGTGCGGCAGCTTGTTTCGCTCTCCTCTTCATTAGCTTCCTAATACGCTCTGAGCTTGTTTGCATAAGCTTTCCAATTCGTGTGAAGAGTAAATCTCGAAGAATTTCSTAGGGAAGTTTGCGTTCATATTTTGTAGATGAAAATCAGTTTTGCAAAAAATATAAAATGTGAAGAGAGTAGAAAACGTTGAAGCTATGTTATAGGCTTCARCTTGAATGGCCTATGACAATTATTGCTTTTCAGGCTATGCAAGCAAAATTTGATCAGTTGGCACATTAAGTTGATGCTGATTAACATACATACATCCATATATAGGCAAAAGGGTAAAATAAATAATAGTTTTTTTTTTTTTGCTATCTGCCTTGCTCAGCGAGTAATTTTGGTAAAACATGAATTTAAGGTTATCTAGTTTCGCTCTTTTTTTACCAAAAATTTAATACCTATCATCTATCATTTTAATAACTAATGCAAAACACACACATTCGTAACACATATTTATATATTCAATGTAATCTATGCTAACAAAGCTTTTCTTTATCTCTCGCAAATTTCAGCTTACAAAACGCACGTAGCTAAAAACGCGCTCTCACACGCTCTATTTTTAAGTACCCATTTTGTTGCTTCTAGAGCCTTAACCTACGTTAACCCAGTAACACTTTTTCGTTTACTTTAATCCCCACAAATTTTTCTAATTATAATGTTTTGTCATCTTCTCTTTCCCCTTCAATTTTTATGGACCATCATGCTCTATCTCTCTGTCTCTCTCACTGTAAACTGTACAACATCCCGAATATTCTATTTATTTGTGTGATTATACATGTTTTTACTTTGRTTTGTGGCAAATATATGAAACTTCCACAAACAATTAACTGCATGATGCCGCAACGAAACCGAAACCGAAACCTTGAACATATCTGCACAACACCCCATCTACACACTACCTATTTATGTACAACCAAAAAACAATTGAATTGTTGGGAATATAYTGAATTTCAACAAAAACGTTATCGTCCGAAAAATATGGAATCGAACAAAATTTAAAACAGTATCGTGCAACATCTTACGATCAATATCAAGCGCCACCGCAGGCACAAAAATATCCCCCTCACCAGGGGTCGCAACCTCCTTACGCTCAGCAGCCCTACTCGCAGCCGCAGCAACAACAGCAACCGTCTTGGGCGCATAATCAACCTACCCAACAATATCAACCGGTTCAGGCGCCTTATCAACAGGGACCTCCACAGCAACAATATCAGGCAGCTCCTCCATCTAATTATCAATCGCAAGCATATCATCAAACTCCTCAACAACAACAACAACCCCAACAATATTCGACTGTACCACAATCCAATCAATATAATTCTTATCCACAGCCTCAACACGTTGGTCAGGATCAGCCCGATCACCAAGCACAGAATTTGMCACAAGATTACCGCGGCGGAAGTCCCGGAATTATAACGCTGCGCAAGGAGGCACCCGTTACGCAAAAGCCAGCCCCTGTTTACAACGCACAACCAGCGACCGTTAGATTTCAAGGTAAGTGGTAGTCTTTCAACTCTCAGAAACATAAACAACAACTWATAACATTATTATCATAAACAGGAGGCAGCAACATGCGTGGAGACTTGAAGTGGCCACCGCCAGAATACAAAGAAGCCGCAATACGCGAAAATGAAGAACGACGCCAACTGGCCCAGGGACCAGTATGCCGCCCACGGAAAGTCCATCGCGTAAGCCCAATGAATTACGATAGAGAACACTACTATGCAATTACATTAACGCTTTCTATGCGAGTGTTGACATATTAATAATTTCGAACTCTTTGTTGTCTTATATGGCACAAGTGATCTCWTTTGAAAACTATTGCCAGCTGCTTTTATTATTTTTGCCAATGTGTATTGYTCATCTTACAGTTGTTTGTACCATTAAAAATGTGTAAGGTTACACAACAGGTCAGGTCAAGTCAGGGTTTTTATTGGAATTTTTTATACTCTCGCAACAAAGTTGCTAAGAAGAGTATTATAGTTTTGTTCACATAGCGGTTGTTTGTAAGTCCTAAAACTAAAAGAGTCAGATATAGGGTTATATATACCAATGTG